ATGTATGTTAACGCAGTACACGGAAGGGCAATCTGCTGGCAGAACTTACCTGAAAGATCAGCAGGAACGTGCGTCTTCCATCATGCCTTCTCATCATAGATGCATCCCGTGAATACCTTAGTCTTAGTCCGGGCAAGGCAATTTGATCTCTTAAGCCGTGGATACAAGGAGACGTCGTCTTCTATTCAGGCTGAAGAAGCCTAATGGTTACATTTAAAGTTCTCATCAAGATGTAATGACAACCCCACCTCGGGGTCATGGCTTCCATCACAAAACTCCAAGTGGAACATTTATTTTCATTACTCCTCCAACTGATACTAGTCCCTCTTGGCGTGCCATATAATTGAATATTTGATGGAGAGATCCACAGACAGTTTTGGATTTCAAATATTAGTTTGTTGCCTACAATATTAAAGTAGTTTAGACAAAGTGTCACTACCGTATACGTGTAAATGACCGGGAGTGACAAAAAGTATAACTTTGTTTGGAAAAGATCGACGAAACGGGAATGAATGTACAATAACTTTTCATGTGTTTGAAAGATAACAGGAGATAATAGCATTATACCGTATGGTGTGTTGTGACGAAATACAGCATACCCACGCATATTTTACCATAAACAGTAAAGAATTAGTTCCCTAAAGACTAATTTGTTTTCGCGGTGTCACTTTTATACCCATCTCCTGTCATATTGATGTATCGTTATCTATAAGTTACCTATCAACTAATATATCACCCACCATCTAATATGTCATTCACTGCAGATGTCAGATGTGTTAGTTTTGTGCCCATTCCTGTCTTGGCTGCCGGGCTTCTGCAAGTAATCTCTGCAGTTAACTAGAAGAAAGCTAGCAGCTACAAAAGAGATGGACACCCAGCGAAGATAACACTGATTGTCCAGTAACAGTGCCGCTTGCCTGTCTCTCATGTGCGGCACCGAGGGAAATATTGTCAGTGTAATATTCTAGAGTTGCACACCAAATGACCGTAAGAACGCGTAATGTGCAATCAGGGTATCGCCACCACTGCTTAATTGAGGCTCTAAATTACCAAACCATTATGGGAAATCGATCCAAAGCTTTCACAAAGAAAGTAAAGAATATCACGAGTCCACGAATAGTGCCATGTTCGCACATGCTGGTTTAACGCTTGTCTAGGCTTTTGTAATCTGAACCTGTTCTGTTTGAATTAAACATTGAAACGATGAACCCTGAGATTAAGGTTTCTGTCTAAGAATTGGGAAGACGAAGACGGCATGTCATTTAGAACATAGAAATGCGCCACCCAATTGTCCTTTTCTTACTGATATGACTTTCACGATGACTTTTAAACCTATCATTTGGTATGTACTGGATGGCGTTGTTTGGTATTGGAAACTATTGGACCAATGGATACTTTAAAGCATCTGGATTTTTTTTCTTTTAGATAGATTTGACTTACGTACCACGGCGGTCAATTTCTAGGGTAAAGTTTCCAATTCTACGGAGGGGCATCAGGTTACCGGGGTTCCACGCGCGGGTTCCGTGGTGCCAGTCTCAACGGTAAACATTATTTTCATCAATTATAAACAGTTTCACGGGGACTCTCTTGTTCAAATGTGATAAATTCCGCACTGCATATAGCTCAAATGTTGGTGTTTTTATTACCATGCTTAAATGTGCGTGAAATCACTCTCGACGCGTCGAATGCTTATTCTAGAACAATCGACGTCAATAACCAAACAACTGATTTAAACCGACCCCAAATCTCTCCGAAAATTCCATATTTTTGCATTTTAGAGAACAGTATAACAAAATTAAGATTTGAGTCGGACAGTTTTCTTCATTTCAAAGTTAAAGTGTTGGTAAGATAGAAAAATTCGCCCAAAAATGCACTTTTTCAACTTTCAAGACGGATAATTCCAGAACGCCGCCATCTTTAAAAAATCCGTCCGACACAGATCGAGATTTTTGTCTTACCTACAATTTAAAACGTTTTTGAGGTAAATTGAATTTGTTTTTCTTGCGGTTTAAATACCATGTTTGCACGCATGTCAGGTCGTGTGAGTAAGTACAGGGGGTAACTTATATCCCCGTAAACAACAATTACGATCTTCAAGGTCACACACGATAACGGCAGTAGCTTCGTTACATGTTACATATCCACTATAAAACAGGGCATAGATATACGGTACCGAAATTGGTTTATATTTGTGAAAAGGTGATTTTTTTACTGTTAGGCGGTACCGTGTAAAAACGGGCTT